GCCTCAGCCCCTGGCAATCACCCTCTACTTTCTGTCTCTATGAATCTGATGACTCTAGGTACCTCACGTAAGTGGAATCATACAGTATTTGTTCTTTGTGACTGGCTTATTTCACTGAGCATAATGTCCTCAAGTTTCATCCATTTTGTAGCATGTGTTCAGAATTTCCTTCCTTTTAAGGGCTGAATAATATTCCATTGTATGTATATACATGTTTCCTTTATTTATTCTTCTGTTGATGGTGTAAATATTAATACAGGGAAACCTCACTAAAATGAAGTAGGGAGGCCAGAAGGGGGAGCTCTCACACCCTACAACTCATTGTCTATTGCAGACCCCACAGGAAGAGAAAATACTACTTTAGAACTGCAAATCAGTAGTGCTTTAGCTACTACTTTACTATCCCAGCAGGAGGAAGGAAGTTCCTCCCACCTCTCCCAACAGCCCAGCCAATGTAGGACTGTCACAGCTCAGCCAATGGAAAACCTCTATGCTTGGAACTCTCAGTTTCCTCGAAAGAACTTTTGTTCCTAACAGCCTCTCCCAACTCTGCCCTTCCCTCTGTAAAAGAACATTCTTCTCTGTTCTCCAGCCTTGCTTATAGTTTTGTCATAGTTTGCTTACCCTGAATTGCAATTCTCTGCTGTTCCTGAATAAACCCATCTTAGATGTTAAGATAAAGAACAGTTTTATTTTCAAGGTTAACAAAGGACACTTGGATTGCTTCCACTTTTTGCCTATCATGAATAATACTGTAATGAACACGGGCATACAAATACCTGTTTAAGATCTACTTTCAATTCTTTTGTGTATGAACCCAGAAGTGGGATTCCAGCATCATATGACAATACTATTTAAAATTTTTGGAGGAACTGCTATACTGTTTTCTATAGTGGCTGCACCATTTTATTCCCACCTGCAATGCATTAGTGTTCCAATTTCTCCACATCCTCACCAACAGTTCTTCTTCTTATTATTATTTATAGTAGCCATCCTAATGTGTGTGAGGTGGTATCTCATTGTAGTTTTGGCTTCCATTTACCTAATGATTGATGCTATTGAGCATCTTTTCATGGACTTTTTGGCCATCCATATATCTTTTTTGGAAAAATATCTATTTAAGTCTTTTGCTCCTTTTTGAATTGGCTTCTTTGAGTTTTGCCCATTTCGGGAGTTTTTAAAAAAATTATTATTGCATTTGTAAATTATATATATATTGTAAACAGTCTTGTAACAGATATGTAACTTGAAAATATTTTACCCCAGTTTGTGGCTTATCTTTTCATTTTCTTAGTATGGTCCTTGAAAAAA